CCCGCTCGCCCTCCCTCCCTCTCTCACACACAGGCAGACGCCCGCTCTCCCTTCCTCCCTCTCACACACACAGGCAGACGCCCGCTCTCCCTTCTGATGTGTGTTCACACAAACAAAATTAGCTCACTATCAAATACACACTTACAATAACATTTAAATGCACAGAATCCCGCAGAAACACAAACTTACACAAAGATAGGTCAAACCACACACACTTACTTCAATAGATGCGCTCATAGACATGCCCAAATTTACACCTGCTTACACAAACTCTGGGTGCTCAGGTACATGTTCACAAAGCCGCAGATGCACTCCCAGACACACGCCGTTTCAGAAGCTGTCACACAAACCTGCACTCTGTCTCTCTCTCAGACACACGCGCGCACACACAACTGAGCTAATAGGTGTGCAGGCTACAGGATTCAGGACAGTGAGGTCTCATCGATGTTTCTACTCAGACGCCATCAGTTTGAAAGGTCTCCTGTGTTTGTTGGTTACTTGTGTTACACACATTCAACACAGAGGACAGAGGAATGTGGACAGGTGTTTGCCCTCAGCTCTGCCAGTCCAGTCAGTGATGGCTGATTTCCACCACAATTCCAGTTACTGCCCTAGTTCCATCACCATTGATAACTTTATCCAGTGAGGCCACTCACTACCCTGCTTGGCAGAGTGAGGTTCAGACATGTAGTTCTGAGGAAGGGTCACTGGACCCGAAACGTTAACTCTGATTTTTAATTCACACATGCTGTCAGACCTGCTGAGCTTTTCCAGCAACTTCTGTTTTTGTTCCTGATTTACAGCATCCGCAGTTCTTTTGGTTTTTATGCAGCAACCTGTTTGTTGGAGTGTTTTCTGATTTTGATTTGAAGGCGATGATGCATTCTCTCAGAGGAAATGGATTTATATTCTGTCAAATCCCTGTCTCACAACCCTGTAATTCTATCAACACAGAAGGACATTTGTCCCATCCTGCATGTACCAGCTTTTTGCTAGAAATATCCAACTACTCTGACTTCCCCAACCTTAACCCAATGACAGTGCAAACTTTTTCCTTTTCCAGTATTTGACACAATTCCGTTTCTAACGTTACCATTGAGTCTGCTTCCAATGCTGGTTTTTTTCAGATTTCCAATCCCAGGAATTAACTATATTTCATCCTCCTTGTCACTGCCCTGGATCTATTGCAAACTTCCCTAAATACATGCTCTCAGGTTATTGACCCTGCTGCACTAGACACTGTTTTCATAACCAATTCCACCAAAACCAGTCATGATATTAAAACCCATGAGTTACACAACAAGGTAACTCCTTCAACAAGTAGTAAGGAAGGGTCCTCTCACCAGGGGGATACCCTCCTTCACACTGCAAGTGGGTCCCAGCTGGAGCGAGCAGCTGAATGATCTCTCACAGTAGCTCAGCCAGGTACCTCCGACAGATACCTCCGGCTCACACAGGGAGCACTCTGGGCGAACTTCAAACTGATGGAGGCTCAGGGAAAGAACCATTTCTTTTGAACTGTGATCAACACCGATGAGATTTCCTCTGTTCTGAAAGCGTGCACAAATCATAGCAAGTGGCGAGGTGGGGAAAGAAAAACAACAAACCGAGGGGAGGGGAAAGGACAGAGAAGTTAGTACCAGAGAAGGTTTTACCATGGGCTGTACAAGTGCAGGAAGATCTGGTGTAGAGCAGACAGAAGCCACCACTGACCACACAGTAACAGCTCTTACTATTGGCCATTGACCTGGTAACCCATGCTGTTAACCAGGTCAGAAGATTAAGGTCAGAAACCCACCACCACACAATGCTTGGCTATTTTAGTCACATGCAAGTCAGAGGCAAGAGTGAATGGATCCTTCACTGCGCAGCTCAAAAAAAAACGTTAGCAAACATGACAGGAAGGAGCAGGTGTATGCAGTCAGACACCAGAGAAAACGAGGAGGACTCAAACAGTCAGTACCATCAGCAATGCTGAAACAGTTGCATTGGCTGGAATTAGATCACCCAGCCTCAAACCATCAAATTCTCCCAGGACAGGGACAGCATGGGGTTAGATACAGAGTAAAGCTCAGGAAAAGTGCTGTTGCAGTGTCACTGGGTTAAAATCCTGGAACACCATGCCTAACAGCAATGTCCTTTGCCCTGCAGCAAATCATCCCAGAAATGCTAGGTAAACACAATGATTAGTGAGAGGGAAGGAGTGATGGAAAATCCGTATTAGTTAGGAAATGGCATTGAGGCAGTTGATGGGATTGAAGGCTGATAAATCCCCAAGGTCTGATAATCGACATCCCAGAGTACTTAAGGAACTGGCCCCAGAAACAGTGGATGCTTTGGTTGTCATTGTCCAAGATTCTGTAGACTCTATAACAGTTCCTACAGATTGGAGAGCAGCTCAGTTGGCTGGACGGCCAGTTTTCAACACAGAGTGACATCTACAGTGTGGTTCAATTCCCAAACCAGTCGAGGTTACCATGCAGGATTCTCATTCCCAACCTCTCCCCTCGCCTGAGGCATGGTTAAACCACCAGTCATCTCTCTGTAATGAGACAGCAGCCCCTATGGTCACTTTATTTTTACCTTTGAGAGAAGGTTGGGGGGTGGGGGGGGGGGCACGGGGGGCGGGGTTTGGGGGGAGCAGGGGACGGAGTTTGGGGGGGCGCAGGGCCCCAAGTTGGATGATCGGCCATGATCACACTGGCTGGAAGGGCCAAAACGGCCTACTCCTGTTCCTATTATCTATGTTTCTATGATTAAAAAAGGCAGCTCACCACCACTTTCTCAAGGGAAAGCAGGAATAGATGGTCAATGCTGGCCCAGCCAGTAACACACTCAGACCATGAATAAGTAAAAGAAATAGTAAAAAGAGAAAATCTTTCAGGTCTGCCATTCAGTAACATCAAAGCCCTGTCCGTGACAGGGAATACCTCTTGGTGTGACCCCTAAATGACACGGCTTCAATTTTGAGACTCTGCCCCTTGTCCTTGACTTCTCAACCCACCCAAAGCTCTCCCCAGCAGAGAGAGTTTCTCTGCAGTGATCCAATCAACTCCTCAAAAGAAATCACTGCCTGATCTTCTAATTCAGGAATATAAAACTAAATTCTGCAACCTGTCTTTCTAACTCATTTGCAGGATGAAGCGATTATTGGAAGTGGTAAAGTGGAACACTTTGCGCCTGTATCCATCGGTGTTTAGGAGATTAAGAGGTGACCTTATTGAAACACAAGACCCTGAGAGGAGTTGACTGGATAGATGCTGACAGCATGCTTTCTCTTGTGGGAGAGACATCATCAGCGGGCAACTTAAATATGAAGACTTGCTTTTAACACAGAAATGAAGTGAAAGGCAGGGACATCTAATAAATTCAGGACTTGTAGGCCCATGTTCAGCCTCTGGGGAGTTGAGGGTCATGGGGACAGGCAGTAAAATGGACTTAAGACCACAATCAGATCAGCGATGATCTTACTGAAGTCGCTTTGCCGTCTCACGTATTCTCAGATTAAAGGGGCACCAATTTTAGACTAAGATGGGGAGGAATTTCTTCTCTCAGAATTGTTAGTCTTTGGAACTCCTTGTCACAAAGAGTTGTGAACTCCTTGTCACAGAGAGCTGTGGGGGCAGCGTCCTTGTGTATTGTAGGGCTGAGATAGACAGATTCTTGATCAGTCAGGGAATCAAGGATTATGGGGAAACGGCAGGAAAGTGGCCGTGAGGAATGTCGGATCAGCCATAACGCTATTGAATGGTGGGGCAGGCTCGAGGGGCTGAATGGCCTCCACCTGTTCCTATTTCTTATGGTGTTGTGAATAGTGGAGCAGGGGTGAATGGCCTAGTCAGCTCCCAAATCCTTTTCTTTCTGCTCTGTTTTAACACAGGACCATTCCGGTGAATCTGTGCTGCATCTCCCCCATGGAGAGCAGATTTTCCCTGAGAAACACTGCCCAGGACTGAACCCAGTCACTCCAGACAGATCAGGATACAGCTTCTTTGTCAACCCTCACTCAGTGGAGGTAGAAGGGCAGTCTCACATCCAAGGGGCATGGTTGCTCCAGCAGACGCAGCAGCTGGCATGAATTGATAACCTCAGCAGGCAGGTACAGACTGATGCCAGTGAAGGTAGACCACGTCATGCTGAGGTCTTTACACACCCAGAATCTTGGCACACAGAGTACCCCTGCAAGCAGCCACTGCCCTGGCCCACACAATACAATCTCCCAGCTGGTGAAACACTATACGGACAGAGGCACTTACCGAGATCACCCGGTCTCCAACCCGAAGGATCCCGTCCCTGTGTGCAGATCCTCCTTCAGCTAACCGCGAGATGAAGATCGCCTGAAAGAGGGCACGCTCCAGGTTACACACGTGCGCTCAGGCTCTCTCACACACACACGCAGGGTTACACATGCATTACACCCTAACATGCATGCCAACATACATTAAAGCCAGCTTCCCCTTTAAGTTTCTGCAGGAGTGATACCCACTGAGTCTCCTGCTTTGTACGGTGTCGATCCCTTGCCCCCAGCGATGCTGAAACCCAGGCCTTTCTCGTTGCGTGCCAGTGAGGTGGTAAACTGCAGCCGAACCACCCCATTTTCAGTAGGCTCCGGGAACCTCAAACCGGTGCGGCGGTCCCTTGGGGCGTAGTCATCCTCAGGGCGCAATGGGGTCACGGTGATAGCATTCTCTGGCTCCACCATCCTCTCCCGTAGTATCGACATGGTGACTGAGCTCCCCGAACTCCGCAATGCCTCCACTGCTCGGTGGTGCTCAGCATCATGCAGGTCCACACTATTTACCTGCACCAACCAAAGGCACAAGTATCAATGCATTGTACACCAACCTGTGCAGCCAAAAACTGAGCAATTGGGAGCAGCGAGGGGGGATGTGGGAAGACTACGAAGGTAGGTAATGACCTAGTGGTATTATCATGGAGATGTACAGCATGGAAACAAACCCTTCGGTCCAAATCATCCGTGCTGACCAGATATCCTAAATTAATCTGGTCCCATCTTCCAGCATTTGGTCCATATCCCTTAAACCCTTCCCATTCATACACCCATCCTGAAGCCTTTTAAATGCCGTAATCGTACCAGTGTTCACCACATCTTCTGGCAGCTCATTCCATACACGCACCACCCTCTGTGTGAAAAAGTTACGGCTCAGGTCCATTTTACATTTTTTCCCTCTTACTTTAAACCTACGCCGTCTAGTTTTGGACTCCCCTGACCCCGGGGAAAAGACCTTGTCTATTTAACATACCCATGCCCCTCATGATTTTATAAAACTTCTAAGGTCACCCCTCAGCCTCCAACGCTCCAGGGAAAATAGCCCCAGCCTTATCAACCTCTCCTTACAGCTCAAACCCTCCAGCCCTGGCAACATCCTTCCAAATCTTTCGAGCCGTTTCAAGTTTAACAACATCTTTCCTATAGTAGGAAACCAGAATTGCACGCAGTATTCCAAAAATAGTCTAACATAAGAACATAAGAACTAGGAGCAGGAGTAGGCCATCCGGCCTTTCGAGCCTGCTCCGCCATTCAATAAGATCATGGCTGATCTTTTCGTGGACTCAGATCCACTTACCCGTGTTCTCACCATATCCCTTAATTCCTTTACTGTTCAAAAAAATATCTACCTTATCTTTAAAAACGTTTACTGAAGTAGCGTCAACTACTTCACTGGGCAAGGAATTCCATAGATTAACAACCCTCTGGGTGAAGAAGTTCCTTCTCAAAGTCCTGTACTTATTGCACTGACCAATAAAGGTAAGCGTAACAAATACTTCTTCACTATCCTTTCTACCTGCGATTCCATTTTAAAGGAACTATGAACCTACACTCCAAGGTCTCTTTGTTCTGCGACACTCCCTACCATTAAGTGTCTAAGTCCTGAACTGATTCGCATCTCCAAAATGCAACATCTCACATTTATCTAAATTAAACTCCATCTGCCACTCCTAGGCTATCAATCCAGAGACCCGGGTAATGTTCTGGGGACCAGTGTTCAAACCTCACTATGGCAGATGATGGAATTTGAATTCAATTAAAAAGAATCTAGAATTAAGAGTCTAATGATGACCTTGAAACGCTGCCAATTAACACAGAAACCCATCTGGTTCACTAACGTCCTTTAGGGAAGGAAACTGCCATCCTTACCTGATCTGTCCTACAGTGTCTTCAGAACCACAGCAATGTGGTTGACTCTTAGCTGCCCTCTGGGCAATAAATGCTGCCTGGCCAGTGATGCCCACATCCCGTGAGTGAATAAAAAACAATATAGATCTCTGGAAGTTGAATTAAGAAATGAGGGCTAAAAGACAGGGGTGGGGAAAGAGTTGGGGATTGAGAGAGAGATTCGCGGTTAGCAAGGGAGGGACCGGGCCTAGCACTGCTCTGGGTCAAAGTTGGGCCATTAATGCTTGTCACCATGTTGAAGCTTACTGACCTCTAGCAGCTTATCTCCGACTCGGACTCCAGCCTGAGCTGCTGGACCCTCCTCAGAAACCCGCGATATGAAGATGCCCTGAAACAAACAAAGAGCTGTCAGTTTTCAGCAGCCTGATATTCCCTATCCAAACATCAGTACGAGATTACACAATGATGGCTCTCATAGCCATCCTCACGTCAAACTAACAGCTCTCACACAGATTCAGTGGTTGTCTTTGGAAAGCCAGGGTATCGAATAATAATCTGTATTCTTACCAATACCCAGGGAGCTGTTACTGGACAGGAATGAGAGGGGTTAAAGGCAGAGAGGGGCTGGGGCTACCTAATGGGGTAGCTAGAGACAGCATGTTTAAAGAGGGGTGTGGAGGGGAATGGCTATATCACGAGAAGTGGGGGGGGCGCAGGCACAGACAGATAAAGAAACTGAAAGGACATGGGAGGGCAGAGCTTTTTCTTCCAGCTATACTGTCTGACAATGTCTCATCAGTGTTAGCTACAGACATAACAAGAGCAGCAGCAGGGTGGGGAGAGACAGAGAATGGGGGATAAAGGCTGGGGCAAGGGTTGGGGAGGAGGATGGTGAGAACTGGAAACAGAACGAGGGAGGCAACGTGAGGTTGGAGGTGGGGAGAGGGTGATGATTGGCAGAGGGAGGAAGGGGAAGACGGTGAAGGTGAGTGAGGGGGGCAAGGTCAGATGGGAAGCGAGGCCAATGTGTTACTTGTCCACAGTCGAACAGACGTCGGTTTCCTGTGGGGTCTGTGTGCTCTGAAAGCCAGCAGACCCTGTGCCTACAGTGCCATCAAGACATCATCCTGAACATGAAGCACCATTACCTCATCATCCCCTTTGTATGGGGTAGAGCCTTTTCCTCCAGCGATACTGATGCCCAGGCCACCAGTCTGACGGTGTATTGTTAGTGTTAGCTACAGACACAACAAGAGGAGGTTAGCAGAGCTTGGCAATAGCAGGCATTAGCTTATCAAATATCACCGTTCTCCCACCCCATCCAGTAGGCAGCTCAGAGGGTAAAGGTCTCTGCAAACCTCTCAGTGACACACAGCATCTCACTGATGGATATACCCACACACTCACTACCACACAGATAGCCTTATCTTCCTGTGGAACTCTGCAAAGCAAAGCCCTCAGACTGACATCACTGGGAACATGGGAACAGAGAGTCGACTCAGACTGAAATCTGTTCCTCCAGCTCATTAAATCATGGATGATCTGTCTCTCAACTCCACTTTTTCCACCTTGTTTCCATATTTTTTGATGGTCTTTCCTGACTGGAAGATAAATTTGTGACCCACAGCTGAAAATGGGAGAGACATTTCCAGGTTCCCAGCACCCTTTGTGTTCGCACTGGGGTTGGTGGGGAGGGGCATTCCTCAATGGTCAAGCTGCAAGTTTAGGTCATGGGCTGCTTCTTCCAAGTACGGGGGAAACAAGTTTCTCTCTATCACCTCTGGCTCTCTGCTGACTGGGCAGTAAGTTTAATGGTGGAGCACTTCTGTTTTTACTCATTCATGAGATGTGGGCACTACTGACTCAGTCAGCATTTGTCATTCCTCATTAGCCAGAAGGCATTTAAGAGTCAGCACATTGCCGTGGGCCTGGAATCACACGGAATTGAAACCTGATAAGGAAGGCAGACTTTCTCCCCTAACAATCAACAGTGGTCACACAGTGACTGAAGTGGGGCGGCACGGTGGCTCAGTGGTTAGCACTGCTGCCGCCTCACAGTGCAAGGGACGCGGGTTCGATTCCACCCTCGGGCGACTGTCTGTGTGGAGTCTGCATGTTCTCCCCTGGGTTTCCTCTGCGGGTGCTCCGGTTTCCTCCCACAGTCCAAAGATATGCAGGCTAGGTGGATTGGCCGTGCTAACTTATCCAGTGTTCATGGATTGGAGGTGAGGGGCGTTAGCCATGGGAAATGCAGGGTTGCAGGGTTACAGGGATAGGGTTGGGAATGGGTCTTGGTGGGATGCTCTTTGGAGAGTTGGTGTGGACTTGTTGGGCCAAATGGCCTGTTTCCAAACTGTGGGGATTATATTAAAAAATCTAATTTCATCATCTGTAAGCGTGCGATTCTGAACCCGTATCTCCAGCACACTGGCCTCGAGTTCGAGATTACTCGCACAGTGACAATGTTCTCTGGGACAGGCAGTGCTGTAGTGGCAAGGTCATCAGGGTCGGTGCTGCGGGGAACAGGAGTCAGTACGGAGGGTCGGTGCTGCGGGGGACAGGAGTCAGTAACGGAGGGTCGGTGCGGTGGATTGTCACGGACACTGAGGGAACTCATTTATTGTCATGAGTTACAAAGTTCTGCAGAAGGCAGGAAGCTAGAATTTGCTTGAAACAAAAGGGAGAAGAGTGTGTCATTCCTTTAAGAGGTAAAGTGCTTTTCTAAGCTGAGAGATTTATACAGAAAAGCGTCTGTATGTAGCTGAAGATTTACAGCCAGCTCTAAAATGGAAATATGTATCAATTGGCTGTGCAATTGGAAATCTTAGGCTTGTTTTGATGTTTTGGCAACGAGATGGAATCAGTCAATTAGTTTAAACCAAGCACTTAGCAACTGAAAACCAATTTGAATCCAATAGTTTTGACAACTTCAAAACAATGCAAGAAATGCAATGTAAGAAAATTGATATGTTATCCAAGCTATACAAGGAGAGGATTTTTTCAAAAATTGGCAGGAGAGCAAACTGCCATCTGAGAAATAAGCATCTAACTCTCACAAGAAATCGCTAAGCTCTCTAAGAAAGCACCATCTATCCATAAAAGGTAACATAGCATTTCTAGCTAAGAGTCTTCACACAGAAAACATCCCTGACAGCAGGATCAGCGGAAGAAAGGTGTCTATGACTTGAGAACAGCAGAAGGTCTGGATGGGATCTATCCCAGGTAACTGAGGGAAGCAAGAGAGGAAATAGCTGGGGCCTTAACAGATATCTTTGCAGCATCCTTGAGCACGGGTGAGGTCCCGGAGGACTGGAGAATTGCTAATGTTATCCCCTTGTTTAAGAAGGGTAGCAAGGATAATCCAGGTAATTATTGACCAGTGAGCCTGACGTCAGTGGTGGGGAAGCTGCTGGAGAAGATGCTGAGGGATAGGATCTATTTACATTTGGAAGAAAATGGGCTTATTAGTGATAGGCAGCATGGTTTTGTGCAGGGAAGGTCATGTCTTACCAACTTGATAGAATTCTTTGAATAAGTGACAAAGTTGATAGATGTGGGAAGGGCTGTAAATGTCATATACATGGACTTCAGTAAGGCATTTGATAAGGTTCCCCATGGTAGGCTGATGGAGAAAGTGAAGTCGCATGGGGTCCAGGGTGTACTAGCTAGATGGATAGAGAACTGGCTGGGCAGCAGGAGACAGAGAGTTGTAGTGGAAGGGAGTTTCTCAAAATGGGGAACTGTGACCAGTGGTGCTCCACAGGGTTCCATGTTGGGACCACTGTTGTTTGTGATATACATAAATGATCTGGAGGAAGGTATAGATGGTCTGATTAGCAAGTTTGTAGATGACACTAAGATTGGTGGAGTAGCAGACAGTGAAGGGGACTGTCAGAGAATGCAGCAGAATATAGATAGATTGGAGAGTTGGGTGGAGAAATGGCAGATGGAGTTCAATCCAGGCAAATGCGAGGTGATGCATTTTGGAAGATCCAATTCAAGGGCGAACTATACGGTAAATGGAAAAGCCCCGGGGAAAATTGATGCGCAGAGAGATCTGGGTGTTCAGGTCCATTGTACCCTGAAGGTGGCAACGCAAGTCGTTGGAGTGGTCAAGAAGGCGTACGGCATGCTTTCATTCATCGGACGGGGTATTGAGTGCAAGAGTTGGCAGGTCATGTTACAGTTGTACAGGACTTCGGTTCGACCACATTTGGAATACTGTATACAGTTCTGGTCGCCACATTATCAAAAGGATGTGGATGCTTTGGAGAGGGTGCAGAGGAGGTTCACCGGGATGTTGCCTGGTATGGAGGGTGCTAGCTATGAAGAGAGGTTGAGTAGATTAGGATTATTTACATTAGAAAGACGGAGGTTGAGCGGGACCTGATTGAGGTCTACAAAATCATGAGAGGTATAGACAAGGTGGATAGCAAGAAGCTTTTTCCACAGAGTGGGGGACTCAATTACTAGGGGTCACGATTTCAAGGTGAGAGGGGAAAAGTTTAAGGGAGATATGCGTGGAAAGTTCTTTACGCAGAGGTTGGTGGGTGCCTGGAACGCGTTGCCAGCGGAGGTGGTAGAGGCGGGCACGATAGCATCATTTAAGATGTATCTCGACAGAATGGGCAGGGAGCAGAGGGATACAGATCCTTGGAAAATAGGTGACAAGTTTAGATAGAGGATCTGGATCGGCGCAGGCTTGGAGGGCCGAAGGGCCTGCTCCTGTGCTGTCATTTTCTTTGTTCTTTGAAGAAAGGGTTGTACACTTTGAGAGATTAAGTTTTAATTTATTTTCTTATTACTTGGGTTTATCTAAGTGGGATTTGTGTTTATTGGAACAGCGTACCAGTATTTAGTTGTTAGAGAATAGTTAGTAGTTAATGGGGGAATTGTTTGGTTTGTTAGTAATTCTGTTAATTCGTTCACTCTTAGGGTTAAATAAATCAATTGTTACTTTTTACTTATAAAGTGAATTTCCAGGATTTTCTTTCATTTAACCTGTCCTTCTCTGTAACAGTTTGGTGGCTCAAGTCTGGGATCTGGTCGGGTTGTGTATGGGATCTGAACGGATTTGGACAGATTTAAACAGACTTAGAGATTAGTGTCCTAGATCTTTAAATAAAACTTAGAATTTTCACACCTATTTCATTTCGGTTACATGTGGTTGGTTAAATCAAAAGTGAGGGAAATGGCTCTTAAAATTGCTAAACATGTTCAGGGATTTGAAGATGCTTCCCAAATTTGCCAAGAAAGTTTAGAAAAACAGGGGAAGGATATACTTTTAGAATTAGTGAACAGGTCAGAATTGGGTTTAACTAGGGACAAGAGGAAAGCTGAAATTGTAAAGGAGTTACTTAAGCATTTCGGTATAGCAGAGAAACAGGAAAGTGCAAGGGAGCTAGAAAAAATTAAATTTCAAATAAGACAACTGGAGTTAGAGAATGAAACAGTTTGAATTACAGTTACAAGCAGAGGAAAAACAAAAAGAGGAGAGGGAAAAAGAAAAAGCGAGAGAGAAAGAGAAAGAATGTTTGCATTGGAAAAGAAGTTGGAACAAGAAAAAAAAAGACTTCAAATAGCTGAAGGAAAAGTACAAGATAGAAGTGAGGGTGAGCAAACTCATCGTAGCCAATAACCTAGCAGGGATAAATAAAAATATGTCCAAACATTGCCAAAATTCGATGTAAAAGATATAGAAGCCTTTTGTACTTCCTCTGAGAAACTGGCTAGGCAGATGAATTGGCCAGAGAATGTGTGGGTAACGTTAGTTCAGACCAAGTTGATAGGCAGGGCTAGTTAGATGTTTGCAGAGCCGTCAGAGGAAGTTTCAGGAGACTATGGAGGAATAAAACAGGCTATTTTTGAGTGCCTACAAATTGTTACAAGTATATAGACAACAGTTCAGAAATATGGAAGAAACCAGATCAGATTTAGGTCATGTGTGAAAGAATTAAGCATAACAACTTCGATAAATGGGTGAGAACATTAAAGATAGAATAGATAAGGATCTTGGAGAGATTATTCTGCGGCAGAAGTTCAAAAACTCATTTCCAGAAATGATAAGAGCTCATACTGCGGAACAGAAAGTTCAAACAGCCAGAAGAGCTGTAGTGTTGGCTAATGAATACGTATTAGTGCACAAATCAAAATTTAGCTTCTGACAGCAATTTCATTCTGAGAGGGATAAATATTGGGAAAGAGGGAGATCCTTCAACGAAAAACAAAATGTAGATCA